CCCCAAAACCCCAAAACCCCAAAACCCCAAAACCCCTATAAGGGTAATAATAATTGAAAATGGCTGAAGAAATGTGAGCGAATGTAACTAATTCTATAAATGATGTTATAACAAAGCAGCAAAGGTAACATTTTATGCAAAGATCTGAGTTCTACTTGTTCTAAAATCAGGATTATTTTTCTTGCACAATTAATATCAAAGGGCAGTTTCTCAGCACTAAGATGTATCAATTAATTAAGTAATTTAAGGTCACTATCAAGACTTAGGTTCAGTATTTCCAGTTTTCTTTCCTTGGAATCTTCATCATATTCATACCACTATCTTACTCAGTTGAATTTAGAGGGTCGATGAGAATATCTTCAAAAAGAAAAATTCAAAAGAAGGAAATAAAAAGGCACCTCATCAGTACAATAAGGGCAGATAACATGGGGGACAAAGTTAATTTAACAGTAAATTTGGAGAACATAGGGGAGAGCTTTGACCGTGACAGTCTCAAAATTGATAAGCTAGACTATGAAGCACAATCTTGTCGAAAAATCAAGCATAAGAAGCGAAATAAAGTGAAACAAATAGAGGATACTATAAAAACTGCTACAAAATCATTCAAGGATAACCTTGATGGATTCGGGAAGCACAATGAAAATGATAAGACTGATGGGGATCAGGAAACTACCAAGCCTTTTTACTCATCAAGAAAGGATTTTGATAACTTATCTTCGATTTTACAGAAGATTAAAGCGACTCCTAAGCATATGGTTGATTATAAAAACAATCTTGAACAATCTATGTTTAAGAAAAAGCTAGGCTTAGAAAGAATTGATAAGTTTCAGTATACTCTTCTACAAGCCAACATTGACCAGAGAAGCTCTGCGTTACCAAAACTCAGAGAAAATTCAGTAGGAGTTGCACCCTATTCAGAAAATCGCATATCCTTTAAATTTGATAAAGATATCAAGGAGGAGCTTAACAAGAGCCAGAATGCAGCAAATCTTAATTCAGACTTGATTCAGAACATTAACAAAAAGAATCGGATAAAGTTGAGAGAACTGAAGCAACCAGATTTGAACCGTAAGTTCGCACAGTTTATGCCTAGATAAAAACTCACAAAGTTTCCATTATCCAAATAGCACAAGGAGGAAGACTATAAACAAGAAGATGATAAAGAGGTACAAACTGAAGCCACTGGACACCTCTGGAAGGATTTTTGAAGATCCTAAGTCTAAATCTCCTCTCCAAACCCACTTAAAACAGTTATCAAATATTATTGGAGGAGATGATGAGTTTAAAACGGCCATGGAGCCGTTGTCGTCTGTCACCGCTCGCACTAAAATAAATCTGGAGAAGCTCAACAGATCTGTCCCCAAAGCCTCCCCAAAAATGGTCCGAGGTGGCAAAATCTCTGTTGAGAGGCAAAGAGTGGAAGAAAAAGGAAGTGCTGGTATAAAATAAATTTATAAACAGCCCAAAGTTCCCTTTAAAGTGATCCCCATTTATCGTTCCTGAGGAAAAAGAGAGAGAGGAAGTGAATAGAATTGATGGCATAAACTTCATGAACATCCTCATGTACATTAATGGAGAAGATCAGGGGGTAAACATTGCCAATGATCAACAATTCCAGGAAATTTGCAAGCTCATGGATGAGTATTATGGCCTCAGTGAACGAAAGATCCTAAATAAGTACGAAATATGGAAGAAGTACATCAAGAATCTTCAAATGAAGAAGAACTTTGATGAACGATCTAGGGAGGATTCAGGTCTGGCCTTCCAAGTAGAAGCAAATATCAGCAAAGACGAGATGGTAAAACGCTACTCTGCCTACCTCAGCAAGAAGTGGTTTTCAGATGCAGACCCATTTCTGAAAGCTAAATATAAGAAATTCTTTGAAGATAGCGAGGTAAAATGGGGTCCAAACATGGTCTTCAAAAAACTTGCTAAAGAGACTGATAAGGTCAACAAAATTAAAGGATTAGTGGAGAAAAGACTTGACAAAGAAGCTCTTTATGTCAATAATAGGATCAAAGTGGATAATGTCAAAGCTGAAAGAAAGCAAATATCTACTAGTGAAACTTCTGGTGATGAGGAATATGATAGATACATCAACCTCCCACATAGCGATACATGTAAATACTGAAGGCTTGACCAGGCTCATGCACATCACCAGAGAGAATTTTCGGAAGCTCCTGTAATAAAGATGGAGAAAATTAAATCAGATGATTCTGAAATTGCTAAAAGTAATAGACCAGAAGAAATCTCTCAAATTACCGACTCTCGCTCACCTCATCACCAAAATGAGAGCCTACAGAAGCTGCATCGCCAGCTATCGTTCCGGTTTTCTAACTAGTTAGAACACCATGCTTGATTTTCATGAATTTCTGCTGAGCTAATCTTATTATTCAAGTCTTAATTAATTTGAAGGGGTTTTGGGGTTTTGGGGTTTTGGGGTTTTGGGG